GACCGACAGCAGCGACCTGAGGAGACGCAGTGGTCAGTGTGTAGAGACTCGACCCCGGCCGACGGGTAAACGTAGCCAGGTGACGGCCGGTCCTGGAGCACGTGCAGATCGCCACACGCTGTCCTCCAGGGGTAAAGGTGTCAACCCACTGATCCTGGATGACAGCGTTGCTCACCAGGTTCGTCGAGAACGAGGGGAGGTGGAAACCCGACAACGAGCCAGACGGAACCGCCGGACAAGGGAGCACAGTGGTGGACTGGGCAAGGACTGGGCCCCCAGAGGGGTCAGCCAAGGAGACTGGGACCGGTGCAGGAAGCGGTGTGAGCTCAGTACTGTCACGAAAGAAACAGCGGGAAGCACCTGAGTCAAGGGTGAAGGTGTGACAGGCCTCAGCCGGTGCGGTACCTGAGAGAGCAGTCTCTGTGGGTGCTGTACCTGAGAGAGCAGACTCGCAAACAGCCGGGACAGCACTGGAGGGAGCAAGTACAGGGGGCACCATACCGGAGAGAGCAGACTCACTAGTACCCAGGGCAGCGGGCTCTATACCTGGGTCAGGCGGCACACACAAGTAACAGTCTCCCTCGGCACTAACAGTCAATGCATACATGGCAGCAATAATAGCATCATAGTCAAGAGCAAAGATATCAACACCAGCCCTCATGAGCTCAGTCCAGCGGGGGCGCTCAACATCCTCGCCCATCTCCTCACGCCAAGCGTCGTCAAGGCGGGAGAAGCAGCGGTACGGGGTGTGGAACCTCCCACACGTCTGTCCCTTGCGGTCACCTGTGCGAATGACATAGGAACAGCGGCCATTGCCCCCCGACGTCCCACGCTGAGCAAGCCACTCACGAAGCTGCTGGGTCGTCTGGGGACGCTGCTGCTGCTGGGAGCTCTGGCCCGAGCCAGTGCCTCCACTCCGACCTCCGCCACCACCACTACCTCCGCTCCGACCGCCACCGCCGCCGCCACCACCGCCGCCGCCGCCGCCACCACCCCACCGCTCCCTCCGCCGCCCCCGCCTCCGCTACCGACCCCACTCCCACCAGCACTCCCGCCACCGCTCCCTCCAGCACCGCCTCCCCCCCCACCTCCCCCACCTCCTCCCCCTCCAGCGCCACCCCCGCCACCCTTGCCCCCCTTGCCCTTGCCGGTGCGGCGCCTCCCACCAGGAGCAGAAGCAGCGCCAGCAGACTCAACACCAAGGAAGTCAACAGCAGCAGCAGTAGCGTAGGAGGGAGCGAGGGGAGAGGGAGAACACCCCTCAAAGATGGGGGTGCGAGGAGCGCCACGAGCAGCACCAACAGCTACAATGCTCTTTTCGGCCGCTAGCAGCTGCTCCTCTAGGAGGGCGACTGTGAGCTCAGTGGGACAGCGAGCAAGGAAGTGGTCTCGAACTGAGCTGAGGGTGTCAGGGAGTCGGGTGACTATGAAGTGGAGTGTCCAGTACAGTGGAGGGGGGTTCTTAGCGCAGAACTCGGTGGGAAGGGCAGCACGCAGGCGAGCATCACTAGTGCGAAGGTGGGTGATAAGATCGGCGACTGTAGCAAAGGTGGACAGCTCAGGGAACAGGTACGGCAGCATGAGGCGGCTAAGCTCGGCTGTGGCAGGCGAGGAGTAGCGAGCAACGACAGCATCGTACAGGGCCTTAGCGGATTTGCAGTCGCCAAAATGCTCGAGCTCAGCTAGCGGGAGGTGACTGCGAATGGCTAGGCGAGTAGCTGCGTCACGAGTCTGCCAGTGGGAACGAACACTAAGCTCAGCTGTGGCAGGAGGGGCAGGTGCAGCACCAGACGCGTAATCATAGAGCGACACATGCTCCTTGCTATCGCTCAGAAGGAACAGCTGCAGGTCATCCAGCCAAGTGGCGAACTTCACAGGGCGGCCCTCAGCATCGAACGACAGCACGCGGATGGAAGCCATAGTGACAGTGCGACTGAGCAAGGAAGCTGCCGCAGCGCTGCAGGTAGGTAGCTCGGCGGGAAGCGCGGCGGGCGGGCGACTCGGCGAGTGGGCAGTGCGGGGGGCGGGCTACGAAGCGGGCAGCGCGGCGGGCAGGCGGCGCTGCAGGCGGGAAGTGCGGCGGGCGGGCTGCGAAGCGGGCAGCGGGGCGGGCGGGCGACGCGGCGAGCGGGCAGCGCGGCGGGCGGGCTGCGAAGCGGGCAGCGGGCGGGCGGGCGACGCTGCAAGCGGGCAGCGGGCGGGCGGGCGACGCTGCGAGCGGGCAGCGCGGCGGGCGGGCTGCGAAGCGGGCAGCGGGCGGGCGGGCGACGCTGCAAGCGGGCAGCGAGGCGGGCGGGCGACGCTGCGAGCGAGCAGCACGGCGGGCGGGCGACGCTGCGAAGCGGGCAGCGGGCGGGCGGGCGACGCTGCGAGCGGGCGGCTCGGCGGGCGGGCGACGCTGCGAGGGGCGCGCGAGGGCGCTACCGAGAGGCGCACGAGGGCGCTAACAAGGGCGCGCGAGGGCGCTAGCGAGGGCGCGCGAGGGCGCTAACGAGAGGCGCACGAGGGCGCTAACGAGGGCGCGCGAGGGCACTAACGAGGGCGCACGAGGGCACTAACGAGGGCGCACGAGGGCGCTAACGAGGGCGCACGAGGGCGCTACGAGGCTAGGGCACGGGGTAGCGTGGTAACCGCATGCGAGCGGTGGTGGGCCCTTAAAAAAAAAACGGTCGGTAGGTCCTAGGGACCTCCTGCTCTGAATACCATTTCAGAAGAACTAGGCAAGAATGGTGTATTGAATGGAAGAATTGGATACAAGTAGCAAACCCTAGTTGGGGTTGTACCCCATATTGGCTACCCCACTACAGCCTACCAACATAATACAGTTTAACATTCCCCTCCCCGCCGCGCTCCCTTCCCCTCCCCGTCTCGTTCCCTTCCCCTCCCCGTCTCGTTCCCTTCCCCTCCCCGTCTCGTTCCCTTCCCCTCCCCGTCTCGTTCCCTTCCCCTCCCCGTCTCGTTCCCTTCCCCTCCCCGCCGCGCTCCCTTCCCCTCCCCGTCTCGTTCCCTTCCCCTCCCCGTCTCGTTCCCTTCCCCTCCCCGTCTCGTTCCCTTCCCCTCCCCGTCTCGTTCCCTTCCCCTCCCCGTCTCGTTCCCTTCCCCTCCCCGTCTCGTTCCCTTCCCCTCCCCGTCTCGTTCCCTTCCCCTCCCCGTCTCGTTCCCTTCCCCTCCCCGTCTCGTTCCCTTCCCCTCCCCGTCTCGTTCCCTTCCCCTCCCCGTCTCGTTCCCTTCCCCTCCCCGTCTCGTGCCCTTCCCCTCCCCGTCTCGTTCCCTTCCCCTCCCCGTCTCGTTCCCTTCCCCTCCCCGCCGCGCTCCCTTCCCCTCCCCGTCTCGTTCCCTTCCCCTCCCCGTCTCGTTCCCTTCCCCTCCCCGTCTCGTTCCCTTCCCCTCCCCGTCTCGTTCCCTTCCCCTCCCCATCTCGTTCCCTTCCCCTCCCCGTCTCGTTCCCTTCCCCTCCCCGTCTCGTTCCCTTCCCCTCCCCGTCTCGTTCCCTTCCCCTCCCCGTCTCGTTCCCTTCCCCTCCCCGTCTCGTTCCCTTCCCCTCCCCGTCTCGTTCCCTTCCCCTCCCCGTCTCGTGCCCTTCCCCTCCCCGTCTCGTTCCCTTCCCCTCCCCGTCTCGTTCCCTTCCCCTCCCCGTCTCGTTCCCTTCCCCTCCCCGTCTCGTTCCCTTCCCCTCCCCGTCTCGTTCCCTTCCCCTCCCCGTCTCGTTCCCTTCCCCTCCCCGTCTCGTTCCCTTCCCCTCCCCGTCTCGTTCCCTTCCCCTCCCCGTCTCGTGCCCTTCCCCTCCCCGTCTCGTTCCCTTCCCCTCCCCGTCTCGTTCCCTTCCCCTCCCCGTCTCGTTCCCTTCCCCTCCCCGTCTCGTTCCCTTCCCCTCCCCGTCTCGTTCCCTTCCCCTCCCCGTCTCGTTCCCTTCCCCTCCCCGTCTCGTTCCCTTCCCCTCCCCGTCTCGTTCCCTTCCCCTCCCCGTCTCGTTCCCTTCCCCTCCCCGTCTCGTGCCCTTCCCCTCCCCGTCTCGTTCCCTTCCCCTCCCCGTCTCGTTCCCTTCCCCTCCCCGTCTCGTTCCCTTCCCCTCCCCGTCTCGTTCCCTTCCCCTCCCCGTCTCGTTCCCTTCCCCTCCCCGTCTCGTTCCCTTCCCCTCCCCGTCTCGTTCCCTTCCCCTCCCCGTCTCGTTCCCTTCCCCTCCCCGTCTCGTTCCCTTCCCCTCCCCGTCTCGTTCCCTTCCCCTCCCCGTCTCGTTCCCTTCCCCTCCCCGTTTCGTTCCCTTCCCCTCCCCGTCTCGTTCCCTTCCCCTCCCCGTTTCGTTCCCTTCCCCTCCCCGTCTCGTTCCCTTCCCCTCCCCGTCTCCCGTCTCGTTCCCTTCCCCTGCCCGTCTCGTTCCCTTCCCCTGCCCGTCTCGTGCCCTTGCCCCTCCCCGTCTCGTGCCCTTGCCCTTCCCTTCTTTCCTCTCTTGTTCTTCCCTCCTTTCTCTCCTCGCCGTACCCTCCGCATCCCATTGCATTCCACCGTGCACTCACACACCCTGCTCACTCACACCCTGCTCCCTTACACACCATGCTCACTCCTCTGTTCACTCTGTCATCTGCATACTCTGTCCTGTTCCTATTCTGATGTAATTTTAGGTAAATCGAGAGGTCTTGCGTTATCCAGATTCATACATAATGTTGGCTCTCGCCTCCCTTGCACTGCCACTCTCTTGTACGGTATGTTTACCTGCTATTTAGCCATGTCACATCTTATTTCCTGGTTTGTGTTTGTACAGGCCCTCTATGCATCTGGTTGTGGTGATGTGTTGGTGTTCGATAGTATCACGAACTAGCCATGCCATGTATTGATGTTGGATTCTTTGTTATAATACAAACCCTGAGCTTAGGAGCTGCCGTGCACCTGACCACTACAAAAAAGTGCAACACAGAAACAATTTTCTTTTGTAAGGGAACAACTGATGATCAACCCAAAGATGACAGCTAGGAAATGTTTCTTTTTTTATCCACTCTTGTGTGCTACACTGCTTGCAATAAACGCTGGGCCATGGTGCTGGGACTTGTATTCTGCGGGGTTGGAAATGGGGGTGAGTGAAAGGGAAACAGAGAACGAAAGCGAATAGGGGGAAGAGAATGAGCAGGTGAAACGGAGTGAGCAAAGGGGAAGAGAATGAGCAGGTGAAACGGAGTAGGGCGGGGGAGGAGAATGAGCAGGGGAAGCAGAGTGGGGCGGGGGGAGGAGAATGAGCAGGGGAAGCAGAGTGGGGCGGGGGGAGGAATCAGCAGGGCGATGGGAGGGGGAAGCGAGGGGGATGGGAGGGGGAAGCGAGGGGGATGGGAGGGGGAAGCGAGGGCGACGGGAGGGGGAAGCGAGGGCGACAGGAAGGGGAAGCGAGGGCGATGGGATGGGGACGGGAGGGGGACGGAAGGGGGATGGGAGGGGGATGGGAGGGGGATGGGAGGGAGATGGGAAGGGGATGGGAGCGCAAGGGGAGGGAGATAAGAGCGCGATGGGAGGGGGATGGGAGCGCAAGGGGAGGGGGACGCGAGGGGGATGGGAGGGGGATGGAAGGGCGACGGGGGGGAAAGCGAGGGCGACGGAAGGGGAAGCGAGGGCGACGGGAGGGGGAAGCGAACGCGATGGTAGGGGGAAACGAGGGCGACGGGAGGGGGAAGAGAGGGCGACGGGAGGGGGAAGAGAGGGCGACGGGAGGGGGATGCGAGGGCGACGGGAGGGGGATGCGAGGGCGATGGGTGGGGGAAGCGAGGGCGACGGGACAGGTAAGCGAGGGCGACGGGACAGGTAAGCGAGGGCGACGGGAGGGGGAAGCGAGGGCGACGGGAGTGGGAAACGAGGTCGACAACTCTCTACTTTCTCATCCCGTGCCGCTCATTATCTCCATGCTTCACACTCGCATCCGCGCCACATTCCCTCCCTCGGTCCTCGGATTCTTCACGATTCTGGCGGCACCGTATATGTTCTCACATGTTATACCTAGCTATCTTAGTCTGGATGCTTAGTTTCGTAAACTGATGTTCTTTCTATCAACTGGTACTACTTACGCAAGCTTTAAGAGAGTGCTTGTGGACTTGAGCGAAATTTGAGTGGGTGCTGTGTGAGAGTGGTTGAGTTTTGTTTGTCGTTGGTGCTTGTTCAATACAGTGTATTGCGATAAACTGGAGCATTAGTCCTTCGCCACCTGCCGCTTGCGAATTTTCCTCTCGTCAACCTTCGCACAACCCTTTTCAAGTTCAGTAATTCTGAACCTTTGCCATTCTAGGCGCCGGCTTTAACTGAACGGCTCTGCTGAAATCGAAGAGAGTCAAAGAGGCAGCGGCCATTTTCAGGTGCATGCAACTTAGTCGAGGCACGTTATTCAGGTGCATGCTATCCCGTCATTTTTCTCCCTCTGTTATTACTGTATGTACACCTCCGCCACGAAAATTACTGTTCTGTCAGGGGATGCTACAGTCCGACTGACACCAACTGGCGCAGCTCTCGCACGAAATCGTCGTCCAACCACACCAGTCGCAGCCTTACTGCGAACAAGGTCAGCACATATCGCAATACACCTGACTAAACACGGGCAAGAAAAAGATAGAACCGAATTGGAAACGCATGCAACTCGGGAGGAATCAACCCTAAACACGAAGGCAGTTCCGTGTTTAGGGTTGATCTCTTCCGGAAAATTAGTCCAGGTTCCCTAGTTTTTTTTTTTTCCCACTGCCTTACGTGACATCAACCCTAAACACCATGAAGGTTCCCGTGTTTAGGGCTGATCCCTCCCGAACAATGTCCAGGCTTTCTATGAGTTGTATTTTTTTCTTTTTGGGCCTCCCTGCCAGGCCCATTTTGTGTGTTGCGTGTGCTGCTTGTGTTCCCCTGACAGAACAGTATTTTTAGTGGCGGATGTGTACAAACAGTAGTAAAAGAGGGAGAAAAACGACGGGATAGCATACACCTGAATAGAGCGCCTCGACTAAGTTGCATGCACCTGAAAATGGCCGAAGAGGCATAGAGATACTTGTTGATTCACCACACCTTCCGAAAAGCGAATTTCTCCCACCCAGGGAGACAGCCGCCACAGCGGCAACTGCATGCACGGCAGTGAGTTGCCTGCGGCTGGGCTGTGCGTGCATGGCGGAGCGGGCGATGAGGTGTGATGCCATGATGTGCGGAATGGACGGGGAGGAGAGGATGTGTGATTCAGCTCATGCCTGCTTTTGTTGCGTCGCTGTCTTTGTTACAATTACAGGCTCGATTTAGTCACCTGACAGCACGGCTGGTCCACGTGGTCGTGAGGCACAGGTCGATGCATACAGCGACTATCCAGTCGTTCCGTACGGTCTCGTCTTTCACAGAAGCGTACTGCCCACACGTCGCTGCCGTTTCTTTTGACCCAGGTTCAGTGTACCTTTTGCGGTTGAATCGCCAGAGCTGACTCATCGTATCATGGGTCTGACTGACCGCCCCCTCACGCCCACGCAAAGCAGGCTCTCATTGGTCACAATAGTTGAGTCACCAGTGCCACCTCCGTGTACATGTCAGGAGCGTGATGTGAAACGACCCTGTCCCCGTCCGAAACAATGCACGAAGAGCCAACCAGTGTGGCGCAATCTCGCAAATGGTTCCGGCACAGGTGAATGTTGGCATCGACAAAAGTGGTTACTGTACCAGCTTGAGTTTGTATTCTCCAACTGAGGTCGCGGTTCCAGGCTTGTCTGCCCGCCATCCGGACCAAAATGGCCCTCAGTGACGTGTAGAGTCACTGTACATTGTGGTTCACATTCGTGCTCCAGCGTTGCCAAATCAGATTGACGTGTATTTTCGGGTACACTTGTCCAGACTTTTATGGCGGGCGAACTTCAGAACAGGATCTGAGACCGCCCATGTTCCAATATACGCCCTTTCGCCAATCTTCATAGCCAAAGAAAGCTCCTTACTGGCTTCCCTTGCATCCCAAGGGGCGACCTGATAGCGGTTCGTCGTCACTCTGCTCCTTCAACGGCTATTTCCTTATCTCCGTCAGGTCACAATACTGTATTAGCTGGGGATCAGGTGTGTGAGGTGCAAAAATCATGCGCTGATTCGTAACATTATGTCCAGGTTCACATCATCATTCTCTCTTCCAGCGATGCTGTGACTGAGACACAACCGCATTACAGAAGCAGCAAGTGAACGCTGTCGCCGCCACTCGAGCATCGTCTATATGTACAACCATAAGTAGTTTCGTAATGCTGCACTACGTCAGCTGCTTGTGTTTCGCTGCGCACTTAGCATCTACCTCCAGGCTTTCACGCGAACGGCCTACGATTTCATTCTTCCGTGCATCTTTTCACCTGCAAATTACTCGCTTACCTGATAGTGCTACATGCTGTAAGACATTCTGTTTGCCGTGATCTTATGATTGATTGATTAGCACAGATTGACTCCATCTACTTAGTTCTCTGCCGCCAATCGGCCATGTTACCCGCTTCGTTGCCCCTGGCAAACTGCTGGCATCGCCAGCCGTTGCATCAGTATCGTCATGCCGTCGCATGCCTTTCGCGATTGCTCCTCCCGCACGTCGCTCGCAGCGTGCGACGCTGCGAGTTGCATGACGTCAGCGAATCCTTAGAGAAATGGCTCTTGCGGTCGCGGAGCCTCCCTGCTGCCGTCGATCGCGCATCGTATCGCGAAGACCTCGGCGAAACCTATGTTCGAGATCAGGGAGCCAACGCAGCTGTTACAGTTGACACATTAAATGCTTTCTCGCGACACCCTAACAATTCCCGGGTGCTGCAAACGGCTCTCTCACTCCCCTCTACCCACGACCTGTTTCTCTCCCGCTCCCTCGTCGCCTCCAAATGTCAGCCTGACGATTCCTTGTTTTCCCATTTCAGTCATTTGATGTGTGGAGATTCACGACGGTTGGAATTTTCCCATCCGTCGCACCCCCCCCGTCGATCGCACCGCCTCTCCCACCGTCCGTCTCTCGAACCGCGGTTCCATCACTCTTTCTCGACCTCGCGGCTCCGCGACTCGTCGATGCACGACGATCCGCCCCACCAGCCGCAGCAGCCGCGTCAGCAACGGTACGCCGCGAGCCTTGCGGCTGCAACGGCGGCGCGGGAGGAAGAGGAGGACGGGACGGAAGCGGAGGAGGAGGAGGAGGAGGAGCGAGGAAAGGAGGAGGGTGGCCGAGAGAAACGCAACGAACGGTCGGAGGGAGGAGAGAGGGAGGAGAAGGAGTCGGTAGCACAAGGGGAAGGCTCTGTCCGTTCTAATCCTTCTATCACAATTAGACCGTCGACTAGAGAGGATTTTAAGGCGGCTGACGGTGCTATGGCTAGGGAGGAGGCGGTGACTGACGTGTTGACGGACTCATTTGGGCGGCAGCACAGCTACCTGCGCATCTCGCTGACGGAAAAGTGCAACCTGCGGTGCTCCTACTGCATGCCTGCTGAAGGGGTGGAGCTCACGGCGAAAGAGTGAGTGGGGCAGCCGTGAGGCATGGTTATGATTGCAGCGGATGGGTTGCTTGTGGTATCGCCGTAATAGCAGCACGTGGTTTGCCATTGAATGTGGGTGTGTGCAATTGCACAAGTGCATTTGCATGCGCATGTGGGAGATGCAACCTGCGGTGCGGTGCTCCTAATGCATGCCCGCTGCTGAAGGCGTGAAGCTCACGTTGAAAAAGTGAGTGGCGTGACTTGACTGTGAGGCATGATATGGGTTGCTTGTCATGATTCATGGCCGTACCAGCACAGCACATTGGTAGCATGAGGCATGCCGTCTGATTCCAACTGGTTCATCCACACACCTCCTCCCCCCACCCACTCTCTTGTTCACCCCTGAACCTGAACACCAACCACCCCACCCCACCCCACCCCACCCCACCCCACCTCCTCTCCCCCTCCCCGCAATTCCTTGCTGCTACTGTATGCAGGCACCTGCTGTCAACGGACGAGGTCATTCGCCTGGCGTCGGTGTTTGTGTCGCAAGGCGTGAGTAAGATCAGGCTGACAGGCGGCGAACCCACAGTGCGGCGAGACATTGTTGACATCTGCCAGTCGCTGTCTGCTTTGCCAGGTGTGTACATGCTCCCAGCAGGTGAGACGTCGTTAATATCTGCAGCTAGCTCCCGCCCTCTCTGCCAGGGGTGTATGAGCTGTGCTCAGCTCTGCCAGGTAAGTGCTTTGCTTTGCCGCACAAAGATCAACCCCTCAGTTGGCAATCTGCTACCTTTTATGACGGACTCGTGTAATGTGATTCTCAACATGCACGGTCCTTGCATGTGACCTTGTGGACGTCTGCCGCATTCTCCTCTGACAGGTATGGACTTTCAGGCAGCTATGTACTCACAATGGATGAGCCCATGGACGCACATGATTGGATACTGTGAATTTCCTGTGGGAAAGATAATCGGTAGTCCCTCTTTCTTCCCCTGGTAAAATTACTGTCCGCCCCATCCCTGCGTTTTATTGTCTTCTCTTCTTCTCTCCATGTGATACACTTCTGTTGCACCCACACTTCTGTTGCACCCACACTTCTGTTGCACCCACACTTCTGTTGCACCCACACTTCTGTTGCACCCACACTTCTGTGCCCCTGCCTGTCACAAACGCACACACACAGCGCTCAGCACCCTGTGGTGCCCCATCCATCCAATGCTCCAATGTTTTCCCTAGGCCTGTATCTCTACCCCTCTGCCTGTCCGCACACACAGGTCTCCACACACTAGCGCTCACCTCCAACGGCATTCTCCTGCCGGCCAAGCTGCCAGCGCTGAAGGACGCCGGGCTCACCCACCTGAACGTCAGCCTAGACACCCTCGTGGAGCCCAGGTTCGAGCTGCTCACCCGCCGAAAGGGCCATGCGCGCGTGCTCAGAGCTATTGAGATGGCTCTTGAGCTTGGATTCAAGCCGCTCAAGGTGAGAGTGAGTGGTTGATTGATTCTCCAGTGCTGACTTTTCCTGTCCGTCCGTCCATCCGTCTTTCCGCCTGTCAGACCGCCTCTCTCTCCCTGTCTGTCTGCCAAACTGGTGGCCCGGTCCCACCCGGAGCCCAGGTTCGAGCTGCTAACACGCAGGAAGGGCCATGTTCGCGTGCTCAGAGCCATTGATATGGCGCTGGAGCTTGGCTTTAAGCCGCTCAAGGTGAGTGAGAAGGGCGGACTGAGACTCTAAGGCTGATTTTGGTCCGTCTCGTCTCACCCACCTGAACGTCAGTTGAAACTCCCTGGTGGGCCCGGGCTCGAGCTGCTCACACGCAGAAAGGGCCAAGCGCGCGTGCTCAGAGCTATCGATATGGCTCTAGATCTGGGCTCTAAGCCGCTCAAGGTAAGAGGTAGCGGCTGGGCTAATATGCAAGGTCGGATTTGAGTGTTTGTGCTAAACTGGGCTTGCCACGCCACCACTCTGGCTGGGAAGGGCAGGGCTGATAGAGGTTCGAGTGTGGTGAGATGAGAGCCCCTCACCTTGAGCCCAGGGCTTGATCTGAGTGCGTGTGTGTGCTCAGAGCTGTGAGCTGTCAAATGGCGCTCGCCCTGGGCTTCAAGCCGCTCAAGCTGATCTTTCCTCTGTTTAATGGTCTGTCTGTATGTCTGTCTAGATTATGTCGTGCGCGCAAGGGAGTGTCTCACTCACCTTCTCTTCCTTTCCCTCCTTACTCCCCTTCCCCCTTCCCCCCTCTGTTCTCCCCCGAACTCTCTATTCTTTCCCAACTCAACCGTGTGGTGATGCATGCAAGGGGTGAATTACAATGAGATTCTCGACTTTGTGGGGCTCACCAGAGACAAGTCGATTTTTGAGTTGACTAAAAAATTCGACTTTGTGGGGCTCACCAGAGACAAGTCGATTTTTGAGACGACTCAAAAATCGACTTCGTGAGGCTCACCAGAGACGGACCCATCAGCGTGCGGTGCGGTGCAGTGCGGTGCGGCTCATTGAGTGAGTTGGGTTCATTCATGCCATTTCTTCTCCGCCCACATTCCTTCACCCATTTCCCTCTGTGTCCCCTTCAGCTCAACTGTGTGGTGATGCGGGGGGTGAACGACGACGAGATTCTCGACTTTGTGGCGCTCACCAGGGACCGACCCATTCACCTTCCCTTGGCCTCCCTCCCCTTTTTTCCCCCAATCCCTTTCTCATTTCCCTCTGTGTCCCCCCAAAACCCCTCACTCCCCAGCTCAACTGTGTGGTGATGCGCGGGGTAAACGACGACGAGATTCTCGACTTTGTGGCGCTCACCAGGGACCGACCCATTCACCTTCCCTTGGCCTCCCTCCCCCTTTTTTTCCCCAATCCCTTTCTCATTTCCCTCTGTGTCCCCCCAAACCCCCTCACTCCCCAGCTCAACTGTGTGGTGATGCGCGGGGTAAACGACGACGAGATTCTCGACTTTGTGGCTCTCACCAGGGACCGCCCGATCAACGTGCGGTTTATTGAGTTCATGCCCTTCGACGGCAATGTGTGGAAGACTAAGAAGATGGTGCCTTATGCTGAAATCATGGCCCGCATTGTGAGTCAGTGTAGGGTTAAGGGATAGGAAGGGGTGGGAAGGGGTGGGAGGGAGTGATCCATCAACGTGCGGTTCATAGAGTTCATGCGCTTTGATGGCAACGTGTGGCGGACCAAGAAGATGGTGCCTTATGCTGAGGTCATGGCTCGTATTGTGAGTGCCTGGAGGGTGAAGGGGTGGGAAGGGGTTGGAAGGGGTGGGAGGGACCGTCCGAGCAACGTGCGGTTCATTGAGTTGATGCGCTTCGATGGCAACGTGTGGCAGACGAAGAAGATGGTGCCTTAGCATTGTAGCCACAGCATTGTGAGTTTCTTGTGGAAGGGGGAAACGGACGCCACAGCATGTTGAGGTGATAGTGTGCGTGCGTGCTGTGGGTCTTCCAGTGGAAAGGGGCGGGGCGGGCGGGGGAAGAAATGCGATGTGATGAAACACTGTGATGCCTGTATGAGGAACTTTGAACGGACAGCTATCCGACCCCTCCCTGCCATCCCAGCTCCCTTGCCTCGAGTTTCCCCTGCCCTGCCTATACCACCCCCCTCGTTTTTCGTCCCTCTCTCCTCTTCGGAGGGTACGCCATCTCGACATTGCTCGCCTCAGGGAACATTCATCCCACCTCTTCCCACCACTTGCCACCTTTCCCAACTCCCCACTTCCCGTTTCCCGGCTCCCCCATTTCAGAGGGAACGTCATCCCGACATAGCTCGTCTCAGAGACCACCCATCAGACACGGCGAAGAACTTTCAGGTGCCGGGCTTCGCAGGCAGCGTTTCGGTCATCTCGTCCATGACCAGCCACTTCTGCTCGGGCTGTACGCGCCTGCGCTTGTTAGCTGATGGGAACCTCAAAGTGTGCCTGTTCGGGCCCAACGAGGTGAGCAAGCGGTGTATCTATTCCTGTGCCTGTGTGGGCTCAATGGGGTGAGCACCCTCGGGTGTCAGTGATATCATCCATGACCAACCACTTCTTCTTCGCCTGTTGCCTATGAGAGCCTTAAGGCCTGCCCCTTGCACTCGCGCTCTCATGCACACATCCATGATTTTCTGTTTCACGCAGGTGAGTTTGAGGGATGCGTTGAGGCAGGGAGCAATGGAGGAGGAGCTGCTCTCTCTAATCTCTGCTGCAGTAAGTCCGCCCTGTATGACTAGTGCTGCGTACGGTGTGGTGTGAGTGTCTCGCCCTGCGGTAAGATTGCTAGCGGTGATACCGTAATTCCTGCTCAGGTAGTTGTTGAGCGCACCTTTGATTGGAAATTGGGGTGTATGTAGAGGAGATTGTTACACGATCTCACAGGCGTCTTTCTTACCGTATGTTTCTCACCTTTTCCCTGTTCCGACCGTCTGTCAACCCAACAGGTGAAGCGGAAAAAGGCTGCTCATGCAGGCATGCTAGAGATCGCCAGAACACACAATAGACCGATGATAACCATTGGTGGTTAGGGTGACGTGACCGCTGGTCAATTATCAGTGGAACGTTGGATTGATGCGTGACAGTGAACGCAATGCACAACTGGAGACACATGAATGGTGGATCAATCAATGGTGGTGTCGTAACCATATTTTCCCAGAAATGACTAGCAATACATACTTTTAACATGCGACAATTGAAGCATGGATCAAAGGTAAATCTTTTGTAACAGTGCATCACAAGAATGTACCCTGTAATCCTTGTATCATAATTATCTATACACCATAGAGCTGAATACACCTTGACGTATGCAAATTGTGACAAAACATATATATAATATTTGAAGAAATGAAGATGATAAATTATCACGTTATATAGCAGGGAATATTAAAATTGCGGTATGTCAGTGTTCTTGTGAGTTAACCAGATAAAAACTGTCTATGTGCGGTAATACTACTATACAAACATTACATTTTTGCAGGCACCTGCAGCAATATAATGAGACCCTGAGGGTCCTTGGGGCGAATAGGCTTGGTGAGAAAATGGTTCATCCTGGCAAGATTCTGAGACGCCTGAAATGTAGTCCATCCATCCGCAAACCAGCATTTAGATTTTCTAAGGCACCTGCAGCAGTTTGATGAGCCCCTGAAGGTCCTTTGGGCGAATGGGCTTGGTGAGGAAATGATTCATCCCCGCCGAGAAGCACGCCTCTCGCTCGAAATCAAACGCACTCGCCGTCAATGCCACTATGAACATTGGCGCCGCTATCACGCCATTACGGCCGCTTCCTGCTCCTGATCCGCTTGTCATACTCGACTCAACTGTCTCTCCAACTGTTTCCACGACAGCCTCCCCGGTCTCGCTCCCATTGTTTGCCATCGATTGTTGTGGCGGCATGGCTTCTGTGGTGGCGACTCCTGTCTCTGTACATGCATCTGTGCTTCTCCCTGCCAGCTGCTCACGAGTTCGCTCTGTTTCCATCCGTCGGATCCTCCTCGTGGCTTCTAGGCCGTCCATTTCAGGCATGTGGCAGTCCTGATTGGTGGGAGGGAATGTGAGAGAGAGGTGGTTGAGTGATTGCACTCGGTAAATGTAGGGCATTTCAGGCAGGTGCCCAAGTGTATTCTATGCATTTGCCAAGCAACATGCAATGCACACACACGCACGCATGTACGCACGCTCTCACGCACGCACGCACGCACGCACACACATGCACACACACCACTAACCACAGGCCACGGCTCCATTGTCCGCCACCCGACAGTCAAGTCCCAAGCGCCCCACCACACACATGCACACAACAACACAAGCACGCACACCACTCACCATGAGCACGAGGTCGAATCGCTCCTCCCTGCATGCATCCACAGCCACAGCGCCATTATCAGCTACCCGGCAGTCCAGCCCCAGGCGCTTGAGCATGCGCGTCACCACTAACTGATTCACTGCATTGTCCTCTGCCACCAACACACGCAGCGCGTGCTGCTGCTGCTGCTGTTGTGGTTGCTGCTGCGGCTGCGGCTCTCCCCCTGCTGCTGCAGCTCCTGCTGACCCTCCTGCAGGTTGCCCCTCTCCTCCTCCTGCTGCTGCTAGTCGCAGCACGGCGGCAGCGTTCTGATTCCTCTCGCCATTCTTTTCGCCCTTGCTCTCGCCCTTCCTTTCGCCCTTCCTCTCGCCCTTCCTCTCTTCCATCACCGGGCTGTCGCAATCGCTCTCCCCCGACTCACACATCAACATTATGTCTCCTTCCGAGAAGCTTCCTCTCATTCCCCGTCGTCGCGGTAACCCAGCCGCCCGGTCCCCAGGCGCTACGTGCAGCCCTGCATCCTGCCGCCCATCCTGCCGCCCATCCATACAACCCTCCGTGCCCTCGTCCTCAACAGCACCAGCCGGCACTACCACACTGCTAAGAGAAAACCGCACTCCTCGTGCCTCACCTCCGTCTTCCCCAGCTGACTTTTGAGTCGACTCAAAAGTCACCTCGCTGCTAAGAGAAAACCGCAAACCTCGTGCCTCGCCTCCCTCTTCCCCAGCTAAAGTCACCGTCTCAAATCCAGGTGACCTCCGCGTCGACTCAAGAACAGGGAGCATGTCTTTTTGTGCCGAGCTGCGCCCAAGAAGCATGCCTTGAGTCTCCGCCTCTCCACCGTGCGAGCCCCCCGAGATCCGATGCAGCTGCTCAGTCGTCTCAGAAACAGGGAGCATGAGGGTGTGTGGTTGGGAGGCGGGCTCTTGGCTGTGTGATGCTGTTAAGAGTGATGGCTGTGATGGTTGTGATGGCTGTGATGGTTGTGATGGTTGTGATGGTTGTGATGGTTGTGATGGTTGTGATGGTTGTGATGGCTGTGATGGTTGTGATGGCTGTGATGGTTGTGATGGCTGTGATGGTTGTGATGGCTGTGATGGTTGTGATGGCTGTGATGGTTGTGATGGCTGTGATGGCTGTGATGGCTGTGATGGTTGTGATGGCTGTGATGGTTGTGATGGCTGTGATGGTTGTGATGGCTGTGATGGTTGTGATGGCTGTGATGGTTGTGATGGTTGTGATGGTTGTGATGGCTGTGATGGTTGTGATGGTTGTGATGGTCGTGATGGCTGTGATGGTTGTGATGGTTGTGATGGTCGTGATGGTTGTGATGGTTGTGATGGTTGTGATGGTCGTGATGGTTGTGATGGTTGTGATGGCTGTGATGGTTGTGATGGTTGTGATGGTCGTGATGGTTGTTGGATAACGCTGTTGCTCCCACTACTGTCCAGCTTGGATACACCTGCTGCTCCTGCTCCTGCTCCTGCTCCTGCTCCTGATTCGCCTACTGCTGCTGCTGCTGCTGCCTCTGCTCCTGCTCCTGCTCCTGCTTCGTCTGCTGCTACTGCTGCTGCTGGTGCTTCTGCTCCTCCTGCTCTGAACGCTGGAAATTCCTTCTCCTCCTCAACCTCCTTCTCCTCCTCCCCAACCTCCTCCTCCACATCCTCCACCTCCTCCTCCCTTATCGGTACTCTTGCCCCACAATCCCCCACGTCCTCTCTCCCTGTATCGTCCTCCAACCTCCCCAGTGTTCCACCCTCATGCCACTGTTGGCCGCATGTGGCAGCATCATCAGAATCTCCTCTCCTCACCGTACCTTCGTTACAATCTCCTCCCTTTGCACCTTCATTAGAATCTCCACTCATTGTAATCTCTATAGTTCTCTGAGTCGTCTCGGGAATCTCTTTGCAGCTCTCCTCCAGGAAGGCCTTGGTATCACTCTCATTATTCTTTGCACCACGCCCGTTAGTATCATGCCTCTTGCGCCCATCCGCGGTGCTGATACTGTCGCCAATGCTGCTGCTGACGATGCTGCTGCTGCTGCTGGTGCCGTTCCGATCGTAGCTGTTGCGGCTGCTGCTGTAGCTAGAGGTTCGGCTCCAAACGTACTCGACAGGCTCGGCAGCAGTGGAGGTCTGGCCGGGGCTGTCCTTGAGTGCTCCGACACAGACAGTGAAAGTGAAAGTCGAGCCCTGGGGATGGGCAAGCAGGGTGGGGAGGCAAGCAGGGTGGGGAGGGGTGCGCGGGGGTGAAGTGGGGGGAGGGAAACAGGGAAGAGCATGAGAACGTGTGTGTGCTATGGCTGTTCGTGAGTGCTCCCACGCACACATTGAAAACGAGAAAGTTGAGCCCTGGAGTTGGAAGGTAGGGTGGAGAGGGGTGTGCGGGGGGAGGGAATTGGGGGGGAGGAAAACGGGGAGGAGCATGAATACATGTCTATGTGCTATGGCTGCCCTTGAGTGCTACGGCTGCCCTTGACTGCCCACACACACACACAGTGAAAACGAGAAAGTCGAGCCCTGGAGTTGGAAGGTAGGGTGGGAGGGGGGGGGGAGAGAGGGAAGGGCATGAAATACGAGTGTGTGGTATGGCATGGGTGGTAAACAACAGCAGCAGCTACTGTGCACCATACTTCTTGTGCCACCACCACTCACCTCGCCTTCTTTGCTCGTGAGCTCGATCGTGCACCCCCATAAGGGTCACCAGCGCCCGGCAGATAGCCAAACCGGAGCCCTGTGCCACCAACCACACCTCCTGCACGTGCTGCTGCCCGCCTGGGTGAACGCCTGGAACAGCCGGCAGACCACCAGCTAGCTACCTTGCATCGTGCTGCTATTAGTGCCACCACAACCACTCACCTCGCCTTCCTTGCTCGTGCACTCGTGTGCCTCGTGCCACCAGCAGCACCCGCAGTGACTCACCATACCGCAGTACTCGTACCGTACCGTACCGTACCGTACCGTATTGATTGATTGATGTGCTACACTACAGCCCGCAGGCCTCCTCACTCACCTCGCCTTCTTTGCTCGTGAGCTCGATTGTGCCTCCCATGAGCGTCACCAGCGCTCGGCAAATGGCCAGTCCCAGCCCTGTGCCGCCAAATCTCCTGCACGTGCTGCTGTCCGCCTGGGTGAAGGCCTGGAACAGGCGGCTCTGCCCCTCCTGCGAGATGCCGATGCCTGAATCCGCCACCGTGTATTGCAGCACCACCCTGCATGCGCCCACCTCCTTGCCTGCTTCTTGCACTCCCTCCTCTCCTCCTTTCCCCTCCTCCTTGCTGGTGTTTTCCCCCTCCTTGCCTGCTTCTTGCACTCCCTCCTCTCCTCCTTTCCCCTCCTCCTTGCTGGTGTTTTCCCCCTCCTTGACTCTCCCTTCGTTTTCCACGCCTGGTGCCGCCACGCCCTCCCTGCGTTGGGTCTCCTCAAGGGACGGAGCAGCAGACGCGTGAGAGTGGCCCGGGGAGGGGGAGCAGCAGCAGCAGCCGGGGCAGGGGCGGAGGCGGGAGAGGGAGACGGAGATGCGGCCGTGGTGGGTGAACTTGAGGGCGTTCGACACCAGGTTTAGCAGCACCTGCCTCAACCGCACTGCATCGGCCGTTACCGCATGCGGCACGTCTGGCGCCACCCGCACGTTCAGCTGGAATGGGGAGCGTGAGGGGAGGGAGAGGTGAGGGAGAGGGGAGGGAGAGGGGAGGGAGAGGTGAGGGAGAGGGAGGGAGAGGTGAGGGAGAGGTGAGGGAGAGGTGAGGGAGGCCCAGGAGGGAGAGAAAGGGGGGAGAAAGAGGGAATATTGAGGAGGACTAGTCCCGCCATGTCTCACTGTTGACGCCTCTCGAGACATCTAACGATGAAGGAAAGCATAATAACGAAAGAACTTTCAGAACCCACGCACCTGAGAATCACTTTTGAAAATTCTCAAAAGCGAAAGAACTTTCAGAACCCACGCACCAGCAAGCCCTTGTCCTGGACCGCCGTGCGGAAGAGAGCAAGGGAGCTCATGAGGTGCTGCCGTGCGTCCAGCTGAGTGGCTTCCAGCTCCATCTTATCGCTCTCTATCTTGCTCAGATCCAGGATGTCTGATAGGATCTGAACCCTCAACACCCACCCACCTGCAGCCCTTTTCCCTGCTTTTGAGGCGCCCCGAGCAACACAGAAATCAACACAGAACGCACCTGCAATCCCTTGTCCTGCACCGCCGTGCGGAAGAGAGCAAGGGAGCTCATAAGATGCTGCCTTGCATCCAACTGAGTGGCCTCCAGCTCCATCTTGTCGCTCTCTATCTTGCTCAGATCCAAAATGTCTGATAGAATCTGAACCCTCAACACCCACCCACCTGCAGCCCCTTGTCCTGCACCGCCGTGCGGAAGAGAGCAAGGGAGCTCATAAGATGCTGCCGGGCGTCCAGCTGTGTGGCCTCAAGCTCCATCTTGTCGCTCTCTATCTTGCTCAGATCCAGGATGTCTGAGAGAATCTGCAGCAGCCCCTCGCTGCAGGAGCGAATGGTCTCTGCTAGCATGCGCTGCTCCTCACTCAGAGCCGTGTCTAGGAGCAGGTCAGCCACTCCGATAACACCTGTATGGGGGAGGCAGGGAACGGGAGCAGGGGGTAATGCGGGGTTGCTGTGTGGAAGAGGAGAAGATCTGCAGCAGCCCCTGGGTGCAGGAGCAGATGGTCTCTGCTAGCATCCTCTGCTCCACGCTTAGAGCCGTGTCTAGGAGCAAGTCAGCTACGCCGATTACCCCTGTGGTGGGCAGTAGGGAGACACCGAAAGCAGGGAGCAAGGGGTTTATGCGGTGTGGGAGAGGGCATGAGCTGCAGCAGCCCCTCGCTGCAGCAGCCCCTGGGTGCAGCAGCCCCTGGGTGCAGGAGCGGATGGTCTCTGCTAGCATGCTCTGGTCTTTGCTGGCATAGATCCACACATCATCTGACCAATCGTAGAAAGAAGTAAATCTCACCGTTCATGGGCGTTTGGATCTCGTGGCTCATATCGGCCAGGAACTGCGTCTTGGAGAGACTCGCCCTCTCGATCCAGCATGGCGATAACTAAAAGATCAGAACCAGACCAATATTAGAAAGACGATCTCACCATTCATGGGAGTTCTGATCTCGTGGCTCATATTGGCCAGGAACTGCGTCTTCGAGAGACTCGCCCTCTCGGCCGCCTGCCTCGCCCGCTCCGCCTCCTGCTTGGCGCGCTCCAAGGACGCTTCCTTGCGCTTCACCTCCGTCAGGTCGTGCCACACCATCAGATACACCGCTGCTCGCGAGTGTGAGGAGTGTGAGGAGGAGGAGGAGGAGGAGGAGGAGGAGGAGGAGGAGGAGGAGGAGGAGGAGGAGGAGGAGGAGGAGGAGGAGGAGGAGGAGGAGGAGGAGGAGGAGGAGGAGGAGGAGGAGGAGGAGGAGGAGGAGGAGGAGGAGGAGGACTGTGGCTGGGACTGCAACTTGCCCCGTCTCCTCCTCCCCCTCCCTGCGGCGCACCCAGGAGGTCAACAAGGCGACACAGGGCTTCTACAGGCAGCACTCCACCCTCATCATCTTGAAACACCCATTCAAACCGCCTCAAATCGCACATTCCGCTGCTGCCGCTGCTGCCGCTGCCACCACCACCGCTGCTGCTTCTGCTACAGCTGCCGTTGCTACAGCTGGCGCCGCTACAGCTGTGAGGGCTGCTGCTGCTGCTGCTGCTGCTGCCGCTGCCGGCGGCGTTGCTGTCGGCGAGCTCGTCAAGAATAGCCTGCAGGGCTGTAGCGGGCTGGCCCGTGCCCGGCTGTAGCAGCGGCGAGAGCGACTGGATGGTGCGGCCGATCAGGTGATCCTTACTCCTCGCTTTAATCATCCTCACTGTCGCCTGGTTGCAGTCTAAGAGCCTCCCATCCTTGCTTAGAAGCATCTTGGGGTCCTGGCAAGGGGAAGGAGGGGATGAGAGGGACGGATGGAGCGACTGGATGGTGCGGCCGATCAGGTGATCCTTACTCCTCGCTTTTATCATCCTCACTGTCGCCTGGTTGCAGTCCAGCAACCGTCCGTCCTTGCTCAGCAGCATCTTGGGGTCCTGAAGAGGCGGGGAGAGGGGTGCGGATAGGTGGAAAGAGTTGGGAGGAGAGGGACAAAGCGACCGAGCGAGCAATAACAGAGGAGAGAGTTTAAAGAGCATGCGGAACTTGAGCTGGTTGCTGGGATGTCATGGAAGAGAACGGGGGATCAGACAGGCTTTAAGGTACCTCAAAACAAAACACTTCACTCACAGAGGAGAGCTCAAAGAGCATGCGGAACTTGAACTGGTTGCCGGGCCGCTCCTTAAAGTCGTGCAGGAGCCATGTCTCCGACGCCCCCCTAGGCTTCTGAGAGGGATCCACCCGAATACGCCTCATCCCCACTGGCTGCTGCGGATGCTTCTTCTGCTTCTGCTGGTGCTGGATCTGGTGCAGGTCACTTCCCCCCTGCTCCCCCTGCTCCTTCCCCTCCTCTCCCGCTCCCCCTTGCCCCGCCCCCTTCTCAGTCTCTCCCGCTTGTTTCTCCTCCTGCCCGTCTGCCTTAGCAGCCTCTGTTCCTCGTGCGATTGCCACGTCCCATGTGCTGAGCTTGCCCTTGCGAAGCTCAGAGTAGGATTCGGAGGAGGTGAGAGTGGATGGGGTGAGCTTGCCCTTGCGAAGTTCAGAGTAGGATTCGGAGGAGGTGAGAGTGGATGGGGCGAGGGTGAGGAGGCCGCTTTCAGGTGCCTCAATCGGTGAGGCGGATTTTGGAGTGAGGGCAGCAGGAGGAGTGGGGGGGTGAGGGGAAGGAGGGGGAGGGGATGGAGAAGGAGAAGGAGGAGGAGGAGGAGGGGAAGGAGAAGGAGGGATGGTGAGAGAGGGGAGTAAGAGGAGACGTGGCAGAAATAGGAGCTTGGGCTGAGGCACGGAGAGGTGCAGAGAGGGGGACAGGGGCAGGGGAAGAGGAAGAGAGGGAGGCGGAAGAGAGAGGGGAGGAAGAGAGGGGGGCGGAAGAGAGGGGGGAGGAAGAGAGGGGGGCGGAAGAGAGGGGGGCGGAAGAGAGGGGGGAGGAAGCAGGGGACGAGAGTGGGAGAGGGAGAGGGAAAGCAGCGGAGGCAGAGACAGGGGAAGAAAGAGAGAGAGCGAAAGAGAAGCAGGAGCAGCAGCAGAGGGAACAGCAGCTGGGGTACAATCCACGAGGGCGGTAGGCGCAGCAACAGCAGCAGCAGACGACTTTTGAGACGACTCAAATGCACCGGAAGAGGTGCATTCAGCAAGGGTGGTGGTTATGGTGGTGTTGTTGTTGTTGTGGTGGTGGTACTAGAAAAGGTGGTTGATTCAGCGACCTCGTTAACAGCTGCTGCAGCAGCAGCAACAGCAGCAGCAGTGGATGAAGCAGCAACAGCAGAAGCTGCCTTGGCAGCATTCGCAATCTCAGCTATCGTCTCCCCATGCCCACTCCCCTCCCCATCCCTCCCTGCCCCGCCACCCAACGCCAAACCTCCCCAGCCACTCCTTCCTGAAACTCCCTGTTGGTTCGGTGGTTCAGGATCGGGAGAATGCTCTGCTGTGGCTTCTTCCGCCTACCGCCGCTGTAAAGGCTCCGGAACCAGCCCTCCACCGAGCCTGCGCCTCTGCTTTGGGACGCAGGCTTGGCTGGGGAAGGTGTGGATTGGGAGAGGGCTAAAAGAGGATTGGCTGGGAGGGAAGCGAGTGGGATGTGGAGTGTAGAGTACACGTTTTGCTGCAATTTGCTAACTCCCCCCTTCCTCACCGTGCTGCCTGCTGCTGTGCTGGCAGGCTGGCTTTCTGAGCTGGCTGTTGGATTTTCTGAGCTGGCAGATTGGTCGGCTGCGCTGGCGTATTGCTCTGCCACGGCATGGCTTATCTCCGGTGCAGGATGCTTCCGAACCTGAGAGAGAGGCTCGGTATGAGGTTCGGTCTGCGTTGTCAGCAACGGAGGGCCGTCAGAATCAGTGCAAGTGTGGCGGATCGTTGCTTCTTGCACAAACGCCGGACGTGTGGTCTGGGATTGCTGCCGGGCCTGGGGCTTAGCTTCGGCAGGATGCCAGGGTGATGGTTCGGAAATACGTGAAGCGCTCTCAGGTGGTGTTAAGACTGCAAGGGGTGAGGAGGGAGGAGAGAAAATGAGAGAAAACGAGAAATAAAATAGTGAGGAAAATAAAAAAAAAAATAAGTGAAGAGGAGGAGAGGTTTTTTTCTATTAAAAGAAAGAGAAGAGGAGAAGACCATAAATAAGAGAAGAGACTGCCAGAAACTAGAGAAGAGGGGAAGATGATAGTAAGATGGGGATTAAAACTTGCAACCTCTTACAGTAGGCGAGGCGAGAGCAAAACATCAGTGAAAGAGAAAGGAAACATATGATGAATCATGAGGTGAGACGGTGAGATAAGAAGAAACACGAGGAGAACACAGGAAAGGAGAGCGCACGCACCTGTTACCACCAGGTCCCTTGACGGTCCGACCTCAAAGAATTGAACGCACACCGGCACCAACCCCTCTCGCCCCTGCTCCTGCTCCCACTCCTGCTCCTGCCGCCCCTGCTGCCCCTGCTGCCCCTGCTGCTCCTGCTCCCACTCCTGCCCCTGCCGCCCCTGCCGCCCCTGCTGCCCCTGCTGCTCCTGCTGCTCCTGCTGCTCCTGCTGCTCCTGCTGTTCCTGCTGTGCCTGCCTCTGCCCTTGCCACTGCTGCTGCTGCTGCTGCCCCTCTTTGTTCTCCTCCTCCTCCACTTCCTCTTCCCTCCCCTCTCCCCTCTCCTCACGCTCCTCCCTCCCCTCCCCCTCCGCACCCTTCCCCTCCCCCTCTGCGCCTTTCCCCTCCGCCCCTGCGCCCTTCCCCTTCCCCCCCGCGCGTTTCTCCCGCCCCACCATCCAGCGGTACAGCCACTGCGCGCCTGAGCGCGGAACGCGCGTCTCAGGCGCGGGAGCGAGGGCTTGGAGCGAATGGAAGGGGTGGGGTTCAGCGGCTTTTGAGGCGCCTCAGGTCGCGGGAACGTGGGCTTGGAGCGCATTGAATTTGTGGGGTTCAGCGGGGGAGAGGGAGCTGATGCTGCTTCTGCATCATCTGCTGCTGCTGCTGCTGCTGCATCATCTGCTGATGCTGCTTCTGCTTCTGCTTCTGCTCTTGCTGATGCTGATGCTGATGCTGTTGCTGTTGCTGTTGCTGGTGCTGCAGCTGCTGCTTCTGCCTTTGCGACTGCTGTTGGTGATGAAGCTGCTCTTGATGGTGCTGATGCTGGTGCTGCTGGTGCTGTTGCTGTGCCATGCCCATTGTTGCGACGCAACAGTGGCAGAGATAGGGTTACCACGTCGACACTGCCTCTCTCCAGCTGGCCAATGAGGTGCCGCCACGTGTCCAAAGGCAGTGCGTTACCCGCCATTCCAAGAAAGGAGCTCTGTGGGAAAGGGTAACAAACAGGATGACAGGGAGGAGGACGAAGTGGGAGAGTGGCGGAGCGTGGAGGAGCGACAGTGAGAGCGGGTGAGAGAGTGTGGGAACGGGGAGAGGGAGGAGGGGGACTTGTAGGGAAAGGGGAGATAAAATGTCAACAGAGGAGAAGGTGAAATGTCAGGGCGATGGTGGGGATGAGCAGGAAGAGATTTTGAAGAAAATAGGGTGGAGGGGTCGGGCAGGGGAGAAAAGTGGAAAAGAAATGGAAGGGGAAAGCGGATGGGAGAGCGTGGAGGAATGGGGAAATGGGGAGAGAAACGCGTAAACTCGTTTTGAGTTGACTCAAAATGGGGAGAGAGCCTCGTAAATTTGGAGCTCACAGTAACAGTCACCCCCTCACACACTCACTCAACACCCCCTCGGTCTCTTACTCAGGGACTCTCACTCACGCGCTCCCTCACTCACTCACTCACGCGCTCCCTCACTCACTCACTCACTCACTCACTCACGCGCTCCCTCACTCACTCACTCACGCGCTCCCTCACTCACTCACCCCCTCCAGCTGCGCTTTTTCTGCGCGCAGCACCCTCTCCGCGCCTCGGCTGGCGCAAGTCACGGTGCCATCGGCGGGCCGCACGACGAGCTGCACGCACTGCGACTGGCGCACCACTTGCGCCACCACCCCCGCGCGGAAGCGTTGCGCCAAGCGCGCGGCACGTGACGGCGAAAGCGGCGGAGAAGGCGGCGCAACAGCCGCGTCGAACACCCGCCTCTGCCGGCCGCCGGCGCTCCCCGGATATACTCCCGCCGGGATTGCCGCGGACGCCGCGGGCGCCGCCGGCGCAGTTGTCGCCATCACGGCGGCGGCGGCTGTAGCGGCGGTAGCGGTGGCCCGTACGCTTATCCACTGAGGAAGAACCGGTTGCTCGCGCGGGGCGGTCCGTTGACGTCGCGGGGAGGGGGAAACGGCGGATTGAAGAGAAGGCAGGTTCCCGCACGACGAGGCGCGGGAGAATCTGACAAAGAGCGGCTCTGCGGCGTCGGGATCCCCCGCGGGGCGCATGCCGCGAGCGGCGGCGGAGGAAGACGGTTTCGCGCCAGCGACCACGCCCGCGTCCGCGCCAGCGCCAGTGAGGGCGCCAGCGGCAGCGCCAGAAGATGGAAGAGACGCTTCTAAGGCGGAACCGGCGAAACTGGCGGAACCGGTGCGAGGGGCGCAAGCCGCCGCGGAAAGGGTCGTCGCAGCCTCCGGCGGGCAAGTGACGGACTTGGGGAAGGGAAGCGACGACACTCGCGATGTGCCGAACGAAAAACATTCGTAACCGCATGTGCTAATATTACTAATATTACTTTTAGTACTGGCAGTACTGGTAGTAGTGGTGGTGGCGCTTTTGGGAAGAACAAGGGTGGAACAGTCTAAGCAAGAAAATACTTCTACTAGTTCTGAGGTAGGAACCGACGGCGACACCGTAGTAATTAATTGGTCCTGACGCGACTCGAAACCGGCCGTCGCGGTAGCCGGAGACTGCCGCGGAGGCCGCGCACTCCGCGGGTACGGCAGAGGAGAGGCGCGCGGGAAATGGCTGCCGTCGGCGGAAGAGCAGCCGCTCCCCTGACTGTTACTGCGAAGCTGAGGGACGTCCGAGTCATGCGGCGCGAGTCCCGCAGGACACGTGTCGTGTTGCGATTCGGCCCGGCGCTGATAAGTGATGGAGGAGAGGATTTTCAGCTGAAATGCTTCCAGTTTTTCCGGGTCCATAACTGCTGGAGCGGCGATTGGCGCGGGGATGGACGAGGGGACTGGCGGGGAAAGCGGAGCGCGGACTGGCGCGGTGATTGGCGCCGTAATTGGCGCAGAGACAGGCGAAGGGTCTGGAGCAGACATTTCCGCAGTTTGAGGGTCCATAACTTCAGGGACGGAGCTGTTGGAGTCGTCCGTCACCTCGACTGTTTCCGTCAACCGTAGGTCGTCGAACGGAGTTACACTAGACGGCCAGGCAGCGGCGCCTGTCGTCGTGACGCTACCCCGTGAAAATGCTGACGACGCAAAAGCTCCTGATGCCCTCGCCTGCTCGCTGCCCTCCAGGAAACCGCCAATTGTAGCGGAACCGTCTCGCGTGACACGCGGCGCGTCATGCGGAGAGGGGAAAATGAA